TACAGCCTATATTATTCATAAGTACCGAAGTGGGGGACGTCTAAAATACGTCACAGCCTCCAGCTTGTCCTCAAACGACCTGGCATGAGTTACTCTTCACATCTTAGAAATGACTGTATGTATGACAACAGAGATATCCTGCCACGCAATGTCCCCAACCTTAGATAAACCTACACAAGGTACAGAGAGACAAGAATCAAAATAATTACAGTCGAGGAGGATGAAGAATTCCTCTTTGTTCATCCCTCGGGTATCTGGTTAAAGTTATCTTCAAGTGCACTGCCCACAGTCTCTTACAAATGCGTGCTGTTACATAGATTGTAAGATAACATACCATGAAACATAAAGGTTCATACAGGTCAATAGGCAGACACACATGATACATGGCATGGGAGGTAAAGCCATTCCGCTTATCTACTGCTATCACGACTTGATCCATAGCTACATCAGAAGGCAGCATCGCTGCTGCTGGAGGAGTGCATTACGGTTTGTCTGGCTGCCGTAGTGTAATCTGTACGCCGAGGATTACGATTGACAACAAGAGTTCGTCAAGCCTGAAGAAAATGTCTCGTTTGACAATTTTAGCAGCGTTTGAAGTTTGTATCACAAGAAAATAATGATAACGGAATGACAAGAAAAGTCAAGCAACTAAAGTTTTAGCTGGACAGGTCGTCTGTGTAGGTAGCATTCATTCTGAGGCTGGGTTAAACATTAGTTTCCAACACAGTAAAATATTTTGTGTTAGAACTTATATCTTAATCCTGTTTTAATGTTTGTTTTTAGCACTTATCTAAGGTACTTCAGCGTTCCTTCAGCTACCGACTTACAGACATTAACAGATCCCTGGAAGGCCCAATAAATTTGAAATCATTTCTCCACACCTGTTTGAAGGATATAAGAACCCCGGCTTAGTGAAGGATAACCATAAACCTGGGCAAAGCCTAACAAACTACACGTCCAACTCCTATCTCTTCCACACACCTGTATAGTTCGGGAGGTGTACCGGCAATTTCTGCCACCTGTGGCATACTCGGACACGTTCAAGGACAAAATCAGAACATGGCCAAAACAACAGGCCATACTGTTGAAGTAGATCTTATTGTTACAATGCCCACAATCAAAATATGACTGGCAAATATTGTTCTGCAACTTTGTTCTATTGCTTCCACTTAATGTTTTCTCGGGTACATACCCTGCCTGTTACCCTGAGATACAATTTAACGCCAAATCTCCTGGGCATATTACCGGCAATGCGCTCGAAGTAAATTGTTCCCAGCGCTCAGGAGATTTGGTGAACTAACGCCCTTTCTAAATCTGTCCATAAAGCTGATGCAATATTGGTGATTAGAAAGGCTAAAGTTGGCCACGAACGCAGTGAGACGTCCGTCAAATATTGCTAGATTTTCAGGACCGTGTCCAAACTGTTTTTGTTTCCTATCACTATATGATTCCGTGTTCCTTGGCTTTAATGATACAAGTCACTTAGGTTATTTTTAACGAAACTGTTATTTTAACCTTTAGTACATAAGAGTTGATGTCACAAGTTGTCTAAGCATGTATGGGACATGTAATTCAGCCTTCGGGCTGTGAAATGTTTCGAATAAAACCCATATTATCATTATTATCATCATCATTTTTTTCCATGTAATTCACACCATAAAATTCGCATCACTTGGTGATCTAATACAGGGAATAGGTTATGGATACTCGGATTGTGAGTACTGGAGTCTGTTAAGTTATGACGCCAGCTCTGAAAAAGGGATGAAATGAAGAGCCCCGTTCCTTCTCTCCAGAACATAAAAGTAAAGCAAACAAAACTTGTATGGCTGCGTTCCAATGTAATCACATAGTTTCTTTTGGCAAGTTTAAAGAGCGATTTTCACACAAGCTTTGCTTATATAGTATGCCTTGTAAAACAAGTAAGGGTCGACGGGGTCCCATTGGCAATTCAGACAAAACCAATCCTTCGTTTCCTAGGACTGCGGGAGTACTAGTATTCGTTTTCGTAGGCGAGTCGTAGCCTTATTGTTTAACACAACATACCACGGAGCATTTTCAATTCATGTTTCTCATTTATTTCCGTCCCAAGTCGTATTTTATGTTACAGAACCCCGCTGTCCTTTCAACACATTTTGCGCTAACCGATGCTGAGGCCGTCCGTGGTTACTATATATACTGCCTGTGATTTATGGGGTTGCCTATGGAAAGGCCATCGTGCACAATTGCACCCAGCAAACAGATAGCTTTATTTTTAAGCGGATAGGCTTCAGCAAGTGTTTTCAGCCAGCAGAGAAGTTCCAGTTTTATTATTCAGCCAAGCCAATACATCTCAGGCCTGGACTTTGACATTTTTGTTCAAGCACCCGTGGATAAGAACTGAAAGAACATTATGATACACTGTTACAACAACCATTAAGATGTGAATAGGAGGCCTTCTGAATAGAAAGGAAATATAACGGTCTCTTAGATTGTGGAACAATTTACAATTATGTTACGACGTTATCATGTCACTTGTCCAAAGACATTCAAAAGAAGCGAAACTATGATTTCTAGATCACTTGTTATGGCAGTGCACCCTGTGTCCTATTAATGACTTTCCGTATGGAAAAGAAATGAAACGGTCTCTTAAATTGTAGAACAAGTAACAATTATAGTACGACGTTATCATGTCACTTGTCCAAAGACATTCAAAAGAGGAGAAACTATGATTTCTAGACCCCTTGTTATGGCAGTGCACCCTGTGCCCTATTCAAGCTGTCTTTTCAAATTCCATGCTTTCCTACTCATAATGTCACTGTGGTATAGTGCTCGTCCTCAAATTACGGCTATTAACGCTATACCCTATCCCCCTGATATCGACTTTTGATTCAGCAAAGTGCTTTTTGAAAGGTTCCCAGAACCCATTTGTCACCTTTCGTTCCAGCGTTCTTCGCGACCAATCCATCATGATTGCCAATTAGAGAGTAACATGGCTGCTAATTCATGCTGCAAGAAGAGAAGGTCAGATTCTTCATAAATTTTGCACATTGGCATTAAGAGCAGTGAGGAGTCATCAGGATTAAGACGGGCGTAACCGAAGAGATAACGTTCACATTAGTGGCGAGTCCATGAAGTTGAAAATCAGATACTGGTGGCGTGTAATGGTAGGAAACATGTCTAGACTGTTTCTACGCACGGCACTTTTGCTATCTTGTTCTTGAACACACAATACTTGTGTGTCAACAACTTGTAATGAGTAATGGCATCAGTACGTACATCTCGGAGAAATTCTCAAATACTGTACAATGCGTGTTAATACTGTTTAGACAATAGTTTTCTCATCGCGGCCTGCTCTCTAGACGAATTGAAAACACAACCTAGTTATTAAACTTTAAAGGTACAACCTACGAGCTTCGCAAGCATATGACTACAGTCACATGTATTATTCTCGAAGTATATTATGTGAGCCTTTTGTTTTACCTATATATTGTAAGTTGGTCTTCAGGCTGGTGGACAGGATGTAGGCAAAAGTAACCAGCTATGAATATTTGATAGCCACATTGATACATTTCAGTCATGTCGCTCCTCTGACATTTAAGTAAGGTTACCCACCTAGCCATTGGCTATAGCTATAATCACACTTTTTTATTTCATTACTTGCTTTTTTCTCGCTTCCTACTAGTACATTTGTAAGTGTGACATAGGAGTAGCAGCAAATAGTTCATAATGTAGTAGGAAGATCTAACTTTGGCATTTTTGTAGCTCTTTGATTAATTTGTAGATATTTTATATATATTTTTTACTGTTTTGGTTATCTATAGACTATTTTACAATCTACATTTTGTATTGCCCAATGTTTATGCGTCCCGTTGACAGATGGCTGCCTCAACACTTACTACAAAATGTATCACACTAACCCCGTTTCAACAAATAACCAATAAACTGGTGCCCTGCAGTCGACGTATTGCGAAAGAACCTGTCAGATGAAGATGACGATAGGAGACCGCCAGTTAATGGCTTACTTAATTGCAGCGTATCTCGTTTTGTCTCGGAGGAACTAATGTTACTGACCCAACCCAGGACGCTATTACTAGACTGGAATAACATAATAAATATATGACCTGCAAATAGCTTCATCGGGCTCATAGGAACATAATGTTCTTGTGACAAAGCCTAGAGAAAAATGAGGTGTTTTAGACATGTTTTGACTTTTTACAACGGTGAGAAGTGAGGTTTCGTCGCGCACGTTACTAGTATATTTGATGCTATTACTTTGACGGCAATGGTGTGCATGAAGGCATGATCAAAGTCATCAACATTCATATTAATCTTAAATATTGATGTTAAAGTTATATTCGAAGGACTATGTAGGTGTATTGGTCACAAAGGTCTGTGCTGACGATGTAAGCAAGATATAATACATATGTTGATGATACAAGGTGATTGCAAACATGTTAGGGATGAAAGGTCTAGGACACTACAAAAGAGTGATATTCTAGGCCCTCCAAATGACTTACAAGTAATCACTATGATGTAAGAATGGCGTCTGATCGATTTCGGGCCTGGAGATGCCGTTGCTACGTCTCACCAATGTGGGATATTAGTTTTGACTACTTTGATTATAGGTCTAAAAATGCTATTATGGACTATCTATCTATCTAGGCAAATGCTTTGGAATGGTCAAGGACGTGCAAGGGCAGGAAAATACTGTCATCATGCGTTAAGTTGCATCTGTACCTCGGGTCTATACTCACATTGGAGTAAACAAACGTATGTCATACTACTTAATGATGCTCTGTATTGCCCAATTTTGTGTCCGTCATCGTTTGGTAGATGCTGGGATGCAATGTCCATCGTACGTTTGACCTGTTTGACATTTGTACAACATTGAATTCATATTTCTAACCACACGCATCTCTTTACACTCTACAAAGAACAGAAACCTCACTCTCTATCTCTAGCTGGTGTGTGTTGCGATGAATGGCTGTTAGTGACCAATAGACATGATTGTATGAAGTAACTCACCCCGTGAAAGGGTAGTTGATGTTGAGCCACCTGTCCACACTTATCCCAACCAGCATCAGGAGCGTCACCAGGTTACAGAGGGTGGAGAAGAAGGTCTGTAGATCACAGACAGGCGGAGGGAGCGGGTCCTGACTCAGCACCACGACTAGAGCAATGGGTGATGCCACGGTACAGGCCAAGAGGTCTGCGGCGCTCAAGTTCGCTATCAGCCCGTTAGCGGCTGTTCTCAGGGCCTTGTTCCGCAGGAAGGAGTACAGAACCATCATGTTCCCCACGGTTCCGAGAAACATCGTCATCCCCAGGACGGTTGCCGCGGCGGTGACCGTTGTTGGCTGCAGCATCGGCAGAAGGTCGTACGTGGTGTTATCCCCTTCGGACCTCCCTCCATGGTCTCTGCTGCGCTTTCCTCATTGATCATCTCAAATTTAGTAAACAAATCTTGTTCGCTGAGAAATAATTTACTCTTCTGGAGAATTCTTGCGAGGCGACATCTTTAGACTAGCTTGCTTGTCGGCGGAGTCTGTGGCGCCAGCCATGACGGCGGCTAGATTCCACCCGACTGAGGGGGAGACGTCTGCGTACGTCTGACGAAGCTCCGCTCACCACGCACCATGTTATTACCTCCCGGCGACCCATAGCTAGCGTCATCCCTATATTTGCCTTGAGATCGGAATGTTATTACTGTTGTAAGTTGTAAAAAGAATAAAAAGTCTCATGCTAAGCAGAAACAAAAAGTGCAAACCTCGACAACCTTTTCGGACATCCGTGAGAGGTTTTCAAAGAAGAGCAGTGGGTGTCTATTCGGGAGGTAAATAGGTCGACAAAGACACGGAACGATCCATGAGCTGAAGATAGATGATGAGCGATGAGCGGGCTTTGTGGCTTCACCTGGAATGAATGGCAGATCGCCTTTTCCAGAAGCTGCCCAGGGAGATTACGAATAATCATCTCGCGCGTACGAGCGGTGGGGGAGGGTATGAATGGGGGGTTATCCTGAAATCAAGTATAATACTATGTGAGGCTGTAGAAGGGGAATGCTGTACATCGTTAATTTTTATCATATGACATGCCATCGATATCGTGTATCTCATCATGCAAAATTATTGCACCATTTTGGTGTGAAGAAAAATCGTAAACATCCAACTAAGACTTACGTCATGAAATGCAGCACACACAGGACCTGCACCCAATGTTTCAGAAAAGGGAAATGCCAATGCGTTATCGCAAACTTGCAGCATGTGGAAGTAAGGACATCGCTCTGTTTACATCGGAGGAAAATTAAGCACTGCTATTACATTAATGAAGGCATGTATTATAATTTTCTTCACTCAGACAATTAAGTCTCCATGTACCCATATGATACCTATAAGTAATACCATATGATATATAAGGAGGCTTATAAGGTATGATAAATATCCACGGTTATTTGCTTAACAACTACAGAAAAGAAGAATGGAAAGTGTGTGCTTAACCCATTTATAGGGACTTACAAGAATGAATTCAAATACTTTTAGATGTTTTATATATACAATGATCTGAATTATATCAACGTAGTTGTAGACCACGAAGAGCACACTATAGACCACCATCCATCAAGTACATGATAAATGGGATCGGCCAGACAGGCCCGTAAGTGTCTATAGAGCCCTTCTAACGGTCACAGTAACGGGAACATGTCTATTTCAATGTGCTGTGATAAGTGGGTGCTGGGGCATGCGTTTAAATAGGTTGAAGGTGAGTGTCTTTCAGTTCTAGGCATCTCACGTGGTACGACCAGGTGCATTGGCAATTGCCGCCCGTCACCCGGGTAAGAAGACTTCAATTTTTTTTTCATATGACTCTTTATTTCCGGCTACAAACTGCATTACTCATAGTAAATATAAAAACAACAGCAACATGAACAATGAGAATATACTACACTTACTAAATGTAAGGAAACAACAATGTATAGACAGCCATCGTGTTTTTCAAAGTAAGCATTGCGGTAAATTTATCTGTATCTCCGGTTATTTTGATTCTCTTTTAGGACAAATGTCACTAAGGCGTAGCAGTAATTTCCAACCCAAAGTAAGGATCTGGATCGGTCTCTGTGTTTTTACAACATTTAGTGGGTCTTTCTACTGATGCACTTTTCACTACAAAATACTAGGCTAGGTCCTTACACCAGCTTGGAGTCGTGATTTGTAAGATTAAAGATTGTAGAAAGAGGCAGCGACAAGAGTGATCTTTTTGGTTGCTTTTAGACGACAGATCTAATACGAGTATCATATTAAACATAGAGCTAAAAGGTTGTTCCAAGCTTTTAAGTCCGTGGGAACAGATAGTTGGGGATTATTGTAATAAGCGTAAAAGGTTCGAAGTTTTTTAGGGTGTACTACACAACACGCATGTGCAAAAGCATTAATGTTAATTCCTTCCAACTGCACTTTACACTCACCATTATCTGATGAATTCATGAAAGAGTCGACCGACACATTGGGAAATAGAACGAAAATAGTTTTTTTGGCAACCAGCAGAGACGTCACGTTCTGGAGGGGCTAAAACATAACAGCCATACATATCCATCTAATAGTATGTAGATGGCTGTTCCAAACATTGATATTACACAGTCATTTTGCCCGAAAAAGGAAGGCATGGCGCCATCTGATTTGGTGTTAGTCAAACGAGAAAAGAAAACGGATGTTTTCCTGTCCCGTGTTGAAAGAAGGCAATAAAACACACAAGCAGTCACGTACACATTCTCGAAGTTCGTTGATTTAGTGTTTGATACAATTTTATTCTTACCATAAAACGTAAGTGCCTAACGCAAGTTTAAGTATGATCCGTTTGATGATTGCTGTCTGTAACTCATTGTGACCGCCTCGACAGATCTCGGAGAAATGAAAGCTTTACGAGAAGCAGGGAGGCCGTGTTTCTATTTCTGGACTACTCTATCACGGATCGCCGACTAGCAGATAAATGTGCTTGATCCATTTGTTGGGTGTGCTAACCGGCAGGAAGAAATAAATCTCTCGCTGGTTGAGAAGGTCTAGAGTACGTCAGACCTGACTGATGGAGTAGATGGCAACGGGAGGAAAAGTCAGAGGGCGATGCATCCCGGCCGCTCACTGGGAGAGTAGCATTTATCCAGAACTGTCACAACATGTGACTTTGCAGTGACTAGAGTCAAAATATTGGGTGCTACCCAAGGCAATGACTAGAATTTTTTTATGACTGGAGCTGACAATGCGCAGGCGATAATCCCACGTTGGGGGGCTTGGCAGCAACGAAGAAGAACGGATCATAAGTTCTTATTAGGCCATGTTGATTTGATTATATGGATGACATCCGCGCGCGCATGAATTTTCGGCCGTTTCCCAAAAAAAAAAGTTTCCAACCACACTGTAAATTGTACAAAACAGTTGCAAAATGAGCAAATATATACAGAAAGTTGCAAAAAAAAATATTTGAAAACGATTCCAACGTCGTAGAATGCCAAAATCAAACAAAAAACTAAAATGCAAAGAAATGAATTTAAAGAGTAGATTATTCGCCATACCATACTCTGTGTCATTTGTCATACGACCTTCATAACAACGTAAATTTCATGAAAGCAATTTTTTTTTTTGCAAAACTTTTTTTTATTCGCGTGCTCGCATCAGTTTTGGGGTTCCCGGAGGATGTTATCCATATAATCAAATCAACATTGGCCTTATGATATTATGTGGGAGGGACTCAACGGGCAGCAGCAGAGGTAAAGCTCTGTACAGATGAGTTCATGATTATATAGTCGTCTAGACGACGCCTGACCAGAAGTTGGACTTTTTCACCAACGTCAATTCATCTTTACTGATTCACTAGTTTCCGGTACTTTATCCCCCAGCTATACACCCATCGTCCCATCGTTTATCATGACTTGCCCGTCAGTGTTGCTTTGCCCTCGCAGTTTTTTTACAACGCCGCTCTCTGTGCTGTAGTCATACGTCATTGACAATATGCCGAGATCTCTGTCCACAATCCACGTCTCTCTAGGCTTGAGGTTGGCCGCCAGTGGTATTAACGAATGAACCAACATAAAGATCAAACGACTTTAGCTATCGACTTGACAAATACAAGCTGGCGTGTAACGGGAGGGTATTACACTCAGAAAGTATAGATAAATCCTAAAACCCTACATAACATCAATTTGGATTTTAAAGTATCTGTAGGAAGATGTTTCAATGCCATCATCACAAGTGTACTTGTCGTGCTGACTGCGATTCTTTTCTTGAAAACGTCGAATACAGCTTTCAAGATTCTTTGAAGATTGAATGTTATTTATACTGAATATCATTTGAGCACTTTGCCAGTGCTTTATCCAATGTTATCAGTTTTCACCAGACATTGTTGATGCATTGTTGGTGCTGCACGATAGTCGTTTGGGCCTGCTGCAGTCTCATTTCATGGAATCGTCTATGGTAGATTTGGTGGTAATGTGAACAATCCATCATTAGCTTATGGGACAAGAGTAGCAAATCTTTGTTTACAAAACTCCAAAACACTCCCACAATCGTGTTTATGAGTGTAATATGAACTATTTTTCACGTGCCGATGGTTCATGTGTCTGTCATTTGCTTGCTTGTAAATTAGCTGTATCTATGTATATGTTTGATGTAATTCTTCAAAAGTTTTAGAACAAAATGCTTGACGTACTCTTCAAAATGCTTGACTTACTCTTAGTTGAGCCATCCTGTCTGAAGAGACCATAAATAAGTAGAAATACAGAATATCACTGACAAACATTTCAACTGTTAATAGAATAAATGACACAATCAAGTACTATGCATGTAACATTTACTGCGTACATGTAAAATTTACATGGTAAATTTACTTGTGTATTGTGCACTGCGATATTTTGTACTGCGATACCCAAACTTCCCACCAACTCGTTGACTAGCTACATCAACTCTCTTGTTCCAAGTCGCTTGTTATCTTGCGTCCCTCTTTCCTGGTTAGTCGTTTCAACTGCCGCTGTGTTTTGAGTAAAAAAAACTGTCGATTCTTGTGTGTACGTGTGGACAGGAACGGAACTGATTCACCCAGCCCAGCTGCAGATCGATAACTGGTTACCGCCCGTGAGATGTTGTCGTAGGCGTTATTCATGATACTGAGTTTGTGAAGGTTTGTTGGGTGTGATGAAGATTGAAGTAGACTGTCTGTTGGACACTGCTGTCTCCCGGACAATCAAGTTGACGCTCAGTCTCATGACCGGGTATCGATCCCCTGCACTTGATCATGGAGTGTTTCTATTTTGGAAACTGCTGAGGTCTGCGAGCCAAATGTTTCCCGTATTCTGTAGCTACGATGATTGCAGGCAGAAGCAACTCCCCTGTGTGATTACTAAGCGGTGTTCTGGTGTTCCGTCTAGTCAGCATTCATCAAGTCTTGTTGGGGTATAATGACAACCCGAGGGTACCGGTTTGATGCAGTTTCGCTCCCTGCTGTAAGACAGCACCAGGGCTCGTTACAGCTAACTTTTAAAGAAGGTTACGCTCCACATTTCCCTTGAGTTTACATT